GGGGGGACATGATGGGGATGTGGGGACATGGGGACATGATGGGGACATGGGGGGATGTGGGGTGGGGGGCAGACGCCCATCTGGAGGAGAGGTGGGGACATGGGGACACCTGGGGGATGTCATGGGGACACCACCAGAATGGGGACCCCCAAAATGGGGGACCTCAATATGGACACCCCCAAAATGGAGGACCCGAAATGGAGACCCTGAAATGGGGACCTCAAATGGGGACCCCAAAATGGAGACCCTGAAATGGGGACCCTAAAATGGGGAACTCAAATGGGGACCCCCAAATGGAGACCCCAAAATGAGGACCTCAATATGGAGACCCCAAAATGGAGACCCCGAAATGGGGACCTCAAATGGGGACCCCAAAATGGGGACCCTAAAATCGGGACCTCAAATGGGGACCCCAAAATGGAGACCCCAAAATGGGGACCCTGAAATGGAGATCTCCAAAACGGAGAGCTCAAATGGGGACCCCAAAATGGGGACCCCAAAATGGGGACTCTGAAATGGGGTTTCCATATGGAGACCCCAAAATGGAGACCCCCAAAATGAAGACCCCCCAAATGTGGTTCTCATTATGGGGGCCCCTAAAACGGAGTCCTCAAATGAAGACCCCGAATGGAAACCCCAAAATGAGGACCCCCAAAATGAGGACCCCCAAAATGGGACCTCAGTATGGAGACCCCCAAAACGGAGACCCCTCCCCAAATGATGACCCTAAAATGGAGCCCCCAAATTGGGGCCCTCACAATGGAGACCCCCAAAACGCAGACCCTCAAATCGAACTCCCCCCCACCCCAAATGGGCCCCCAGCCCCGGGATGGCGGCACGGACCCCAAATTGAGGAGGGGTCCCCAATGTGCCCCCCTTCCCCCCCCCCCCAGGATGCGGCAGAGGGACCCCGGCAGCGCCCCCACCCTGGGGGACCGCGTCCCCTACGTCATCGTCAGCGGGGCCAAAGGGGTGGCGGCGTACCTCAAATCTGAGGTGGGGGCTGGGGGGGGGTATGGGGTGGGGGGGGACAGGGGGACGGGGGGGGAATGGGGAGGGATATGGGGGGGGGGGCATGGGGGTTTGGGAGGATGTGAGGGGGATATGGGGTGGGGGGGGCATGGGGGTGGGCAGGGATGCCCCCAGGTTCCCCAAAGTCCCCCGTTGACCCCACTGCCCCCATTGATCCCAATGCCCCCACTGACCCCAGTGCCCTCCCTGACCCCAATGCCTCCATTGCCCCCATTGACCCTAATGCCCCCACTGATCCCATTGACCCCCAATGCCCCCATTGACCCCAATGCCCCCATTGACCCCAACGCCCCCAGTTTCCCCAATGCCCCCATTGCCCCCAATGCCTCCACTGACCCCACTGCCCCCACTGACCCCGCTGCCCCTAATGCCCCCAATGCCCC